TGGGGGGTGGTGGTGTCGGGGAGACGAAGGTGATTTACCACCTGGATGAAGAGGAGACTCCCTACCTGGTGAAGATTCCGGTCCCCGCTGAGCGCATCACCCTCGGAGATTTCAAGAGCGTCCTGCAGCGGCCCGCGGGCGCTAAGTACTTTTTCAAGTCTATGGATCAGGATTTCGGGTGAGCGCGAGGCCTATACAGATGGGGGCTGTGCTGGAGTTGATTGGGCAATATTGAGGGGCACAGGTTAGCCTGGGCCATACTGGGATTTTCTGGGCCCTTTGGAGCAGATTGTACTGTGTTGGGGTAGATTGGATATCCCAGGACGGACAAGGTTATGCTTGGACGGAGCCGTAAGAGGAAGACTGGGTTATACTAAATAACTAAACCATAAACCAGATTGGAGAAGATTAGGTTATACTGGAATAGAGTTGAACGCACTGGTTTATTTTGGGATATTCTGGACTGTGCTGAGGTAGATCGATCTATCCTCTAGTAGTTCATTCTGAACAGCCCTATAGCACACAGGGATGTTGTAGGATACTGTGCAATCGCCTGATGTAGATTCGGGTATATTGGGGCAACTTGAGACATTCTGTCCTGTACTAGGGCAGGCAGGATTGTTTTGGGACATTCTAATCTGTACTAATTCAGAGAGTGCTGTATTGGGGTGTTTTAGGCTGCTCCAGAGTAGATCAGGCTGTTCTGGAGAAACTTGGGCCATTCTGGTCTCTATTGGATTGTATTGGTTGACTTCAGTTTGTATTAGGGCCTAGTTTTTATTGGGACACTTAGTACAGGGCAGACAGAGCTCTTAGTGTCTAAGCTAATACAGACAGCTGTATGGGGATATTCTAGTCTGTATTGGTGCAGACAGCTGCATGTGGGGACTTTCTAGCTATGCTAGAATAGATTGGGCTATCCTGGGGTAATTTGGGACATTCTGGGACTTTAAATAATACAGAGCAAGCCCTTTTGTGTTTATAATTTTTGGTACTGAACCCTCTGGGTCCTCAACCTCAGCCCTCTCTCTCTTTTTAATCCTCACCTGAGGATGTGTTTTTATCGATTTTAGAGGTAGAAAGCGAGGAAGAGGGAGAGAGAGAAACAATAAAGTGAAAGAGCAACTTTGATCGGTGGCCTTCCATACACACCCTGACCAGGGATCCAACCTGCAACCTAGATTATGTGCCCTGACCAGGAATCAAATCGGCAGCCTTTGGTGCATGGGATGATTGATGCTCCAAGCAGCTGAGCCACCTGGCCATGGCTCAACCTCAGCTCTTGAAGGCAGGCTGAATTAGGCTGGGATAGCCTGGGTTGTAGGAGAGCCGGACTGACTCAGCTCTATCTAGAAAGATTGTTGGCTATTGGGAAAGTGGTACTGTCTGGGGAGTTACCTTGGATTTAAATCAAGGTACTTTTATTTGTCAGCAGTGTAATTGGGCAATGTTAAAAACTTTCATGCCTTAATCTCATCTGTGAAATGGAGATAGAGTAAAATGATTAGTACAGGTGCATGACACACAGTAAATTCTTGGTCAGTGGTAATTGGCAGTATTGAGTCTTGACTAGTCCATAAACTAAGTTATGGTAATATAGACTGGAATAATTTGGCAGGCTGGGCTGTGCTGAAACAGATTGGTATTATGTTGTGAAGAATCTACATTATGCTGAGACAGATTGGTAGTGACTGGGCTGTGTTTGTCACATTGAAAGCAAATGAGATTAAGTCGGCATATATCCAGGCTTCTAGAACCATATTAGGCTAAAGGATTAATCAGACAGGTTGTCCTAATTTGGGGGCGAGAGGATGTGTGTGTGTGTGTGTGTGAGATTCTGTTCAGAGCAGAGAGGCTTATAGTTCATATGTGTATTCCTTTAGTCAACAAGTATTCGTTGATGTTTACGAAGTGTGTGATACTTTGCTTTGTGGCCAGTACATGGTGTTGAATATTAATGATTTCATACGGTGGTTGAGAAGGGGCAAGTCTAGTCCATTGCAAGGAACCCATAGGAGATGTGACCCCCAGGGTTGGTCATTGGAGTCTGTCAGGCAGAGCAGGGTGTATAGGGCAGATGAGGCACAGGGGAATGGGAAGCTGGACCTTCCCTTCCCTTGGGAGCTCTCAGACTAGTGAGGAAGTACCATAATTTGTTCTAATGGGTATTTTTACCTAGGCAAAGACAGTGCACTTGGATAGCTCTCTGAAAGCGAGTTAGAGAAAACTAAAGAAAGCATAAGAGTAAAGTCTTAGGTGAGGACCAAAGACTTTTTTTGGGAAGGTGTGTGAGGAACAGAGTGGAAGTTGGGAGGAGGCTGCTAGCAAGGCTCCTAAGGTTAGATATATATTTGGGGAAACGGGGGTAACCTTAGGCGATGGGATGGCCTTTTAAATTGGATCAAGAAGTTTGAATCAGACTCAAGGAGATCTTTGGAGCAGCATTGAGCCCCTGGGGGCAAGCTGGGGAGAGAAGGAGAAATAAGGAAAGGGAATCTAGTTTTGAAGATATTTTAGGTGTAAGAGCAAAGTGTTTTAGTGTGAGAGAGCAGGACTTGGACAGGGTGGGAGAAAGTCAACATCCTTGAGTTGGATGAAGATTGGGAGAGTCCACCCTAGCTGGTTTGGCTCAGTGGTTAGAGTGCCGGCCCATGGACCAAAGGGTCTCGGGTTTGATTCCTGGTCAAGGGCACCTACCTTGGTTGCAGGCTCAGTCACCAGCCCTGGTCAGGGTTCATGTAGGAGGCAACCAATTGATGTGTCTCTCTCACATCGATGTTTTTTTCTCTCTCTCTCCCCTTCCCTCCTCCCCTCCACTTTCCCCCAAAAAAATTAATGGAAAAATATCTTTAGGTGAGGATTATTTTTTACAAAAGAGATTGAAGAGCCCTTGGCTCTCTGAGCAAATACCACCTCTGAGCAACACCATGGTGGTGTTGCAAAAACAAGCACCTTATGAAAGGCTGCAGAAAGGGAGCCAAGAAGAAAGGGGTTGATCCATTTCCTAAGAAAGATTGGTATGATGTGAAAGCACCAGCTATGTTCAATATAAGTTATACTGGAAAAACATTAGTCATGAGAACATAAGGAACCAAAATTGCATCTAATGGTCTCAAGAGTCATGTTTTTGTAGTGAGTCTAGCTGATCTGCAGAATGATGAAGTTGCAATTAGAAATTTCAAGCTAATTACGGAGGGTGTTCAGGGCAAAACTGCCTGACCAATTTCCATGGCATAGGTTTTACCATGGAGATAAAATGTGCTCCATGGTAAAAATGGCAGACCACGATTGAAGCTCATGTAGATGTCAAGACTACAGATGGTTATTTGCTTCATTTATTCTGTGTTGGTTTTACTAAAAAACACAACAATAGATTTAGAAGACATCTTATGCTCAGCATCAACAGGTCCACCAAATCTGGAAGATAATGGAAATCATGACCTGAGAGGTGCATACAGATGAAAAAAGTGGTCAATAAATTGATTCCAGATAGCATTGGAAAAGACATAGGAAAGACTTGCCAATCTATTTGTCTGTTCTATGATGTCTTTGTTAGAAAGTCAAAATGCTGAAGAAGCCCAAGTTTGAATTAGGAAAATTTCACAGTGAAGGTAGTAGTTCTGGAAAAGCTACTGGAAGTGAGAGTGGTGCTAAAGTTGAACGAGCTAATGGATATGAGCCCCTATTCCAAGAATCTGTTTAAATGCAGACTTATTGCCCTAGCTGGTTTGACTCAATGGTTAGAGCATTGGACTGCAAACTGAAGGGTTCTGGGTTCGATTCTGGCCAAAGGCACGTACATCTGTTGCAGGCTGGGCCCCGGTCTG